AAAGGGGGGAGAATCGCTAAGAGATTACATGCAGCGATTTAACAAGGCCACCTTAAACATTGATAATGTACCCAATACAAATTGCCTGTCAGCCTTGCTAAATGGCATTAAACTTGGTCGGTTTGTAGATGACTTGTTGGAAAGTCCATTGAAGTCATGGAATGAGGTGAACGATAAATCAGTAAGTTTCATTTTGTTAGAGGACATTCAATCGTGTAAAAGGCAAGTTGATGATAAGCAAATAAAGGAACAACGACAACAAGAGGGAAGGGAAGAAAAGAAAAAGCAGAAAGTTGCTGATCAAAGAGGAAAACCAACTGGTTTTCCAAAATATGCAACCTACATCCTGTTGAGCTCATCGAGGTCTCAAATCTTGGCACAAATTTAACATTGGGTCCAAAGGCCACCCCCTCCTCCTTATGATTCAACATGGATGAATAGAAGCAAATATTGTGACTATCATCGTGGATATGGGCATCACACAGGTGACTGTCAAAGCTTGAAGGATGAGCTGGAATTCTTAGCTCGTAGTGGGAAACTCAAAGATTACATCCAGAAATCTTTTCCTCAACAATCTAGCCAAACTCATTACATGCATAACCAACCTCATGGGCAGGTATATCAGATCAGTAGTAATTAGAACATGTATCAACGGAATTAGTTCCCTTATAAGCTCAACAAGGGCTATAGAGGACAGAGATAGAGAACCATGGCCTAGAACCAAAAAGACAATAAGGGGATAGGTTATATTGGAATTCCTCCACCCGCAAGCTTAATAAATATGATCTTTGGCGAAATGCATATAGGTGGACATAGTGCCTGCGGCCGTAAAGCCTATGCTCGTCAAATAATGATTGTGAACAAAAACAGACCTTTAAAACGACCATTTGAAGAGGTAGAATGGGAGAATGCAACAATCACATTTAGTCTCTTGGATTATAAAAGACGAGAGGAAGAACCTAACATTTAATGCCCCATGCTGATCCATTTGTAGCTGCTGTCCACATAAGTAACCACAATGTCAATAAGGTCTTCATAGATACTAGTAGTTCCCCATATATTTTATATTGGAGCTATTTCCAGAAAATGAATTGAACCTGGCTTATGAAAAAGTACAAAGGACCCATATACGGGTTTGATAATCATCTCATTCTAGTTGAAGGGGTGGTGTCCCTCCCCATCTACGTGGGAAACAAACCTCGATATAGGATGGTGTTGGTGAATTTCCTAGTTGTTAAGATGGAATTAGCTTTTAACGCCATAATTGGGCAGCTACGTTGTGTGAGCTAAAGGTTGTCATCTCTCAACCACACCTGTGCATGAAATTCCCAACCCCATGGAATTGGAGTACTAAAAAGAAACCAGAAAATGGTTAGAACCAGCTACCTGGACACATCCAAGAAGGTCAAGCTCACTGCAGCACCTAAAGGTTTTCTTCCTAGATTCCCCAACTATGCCAACCAAGTCAACAAATGATGAGTATCTCTTATATAATCATAGACCTGAAAATATGGGACAAAAAGTTGAGCTGATAAAACCTATGGAAACAATTCCTTTGGATTCAAACGAGCCAGAAAAAACTATGAAAATTGGAACCAAACTCACAATTGATGAAAGGAAAGAACTCTTAGAGTTTTTAAAGGCTAACAAAGATGTGTTTGCTTGGACGATAGATGAAATGCCTAGAATCCTAACGGAATTTGCAATTCACAAGCTTAGCACATATCTTACAAGGAAACTAGTAGTTCAGAAACGTTGCCTCTTTGGTCTTGAAAAGTAGGCTGCCATAGATGAGAAAATACAAAAGCTGCTGCAAGTAGATTTCATTAGAAAGGTGGAATATTCGGAACGGGTATCCAATCCAATGCTGGTTAAAAAACCTAATAGAAAGTGGGAAATGTGCATCGACTTCACAAACCTAAATGATGCATGTCCCAAAGACCTACACCCATTGCCTAATGTCGAGAAGTTGGTAGAACAAGCAGCGGTCATGAACGCATGAGCTTTTTGAATGCTAGCTTGGGAAATCATCAAGTACAATTATGACTTGACGACTAGGAGAAAAAAACGTTTTATGCGAGGGATGTTGCTATGTCATGATGCTGTTGGGATGAAAAAATACTGGTGCTACATATCAGAAGTTAGTTTAGCTTGTTTTTAAGCTTCAGATCAGTAGAAATATTGATGTATATGTTGACAACATGATCGTCATGAGTTTACGAGTAGCAGATTACATTGACAATCTGGATGAAACATTTCAGAACTACGTCGAGCACAAATGAAGCTAAACCCATTGAAATGCATGTTTGATGTCGAGGCAGGCAAATTCTTAGGGTATGTGGTCTCTAAAAAAGGAATAGAGGCAAAGCTAGACAAGATTTAAGCTATCGAGCAAACAGAACCTCTTAAGATGATCAAAGAAATGCAATGTTTGACGAGTTGTCATGCAGCCTTGCACAGGTTCATTGCCAGATTGGCAGAAAGATGTCTTCCTTTCTTTAAAGAATCGCGGATGATTAAGGATTTTTGATGGACAGAGGAATGTCAACAAGCTTTCAAGGAACTTAAAAAATATTTGGTTTCACCTACACTTCTCTCCAAACCCATCAATGGAGAAACATTGTACATGTGCTTAGGGATAGCAACTGAGGTAGTAAGCTCAGTCATACTAAAAGAGCAAAACAAACAACAAAAACCTATTTGTTATACGAGTAAAGATTTGTAGGGTGTAGAGCGGAATTATCTTGTTTTAGAGAAAGCTGCCTTCGCTCTTGTTTGTGCTGCTCGAAAGTTAAGAACATACTTCCAGTCTCATCAGATCGTTGTTTTTACTGACCTACCACTGAGGAAGGTATTACAAAAGCCTGAGTTTTTGGTTGGCAGATTAGGTGGGCTATCAAGCTCAACGAGTATGATATCAAATTTGAACCCCATATGACTATAAAGGGCCAAGCTTTAGCAGATTTCCTAATCGAGGGTCATCCAGCAACCACAGTAGAAGCTGTAGCTTCACATTGTGCATGGGCTGTATATGTAGATGGAGCTACAAACATTAAAGGTTTAGGAGCTGGAGTATTGTTAGTTGGCCCAAATAGTTTCAAAACGAAGCATGCTCCGAGGTGCAACTTTCATACAACCAATAATATCGCCGAGTACAAAGCACTCATTTATGGCCTTAAATTAGCCTCTGAACTAAAGGTACAAAACATAAGGGTCTTTAGTGACTCCTAACTCGTCGTGAGCCAGTGACTCCAAACTTGTCGTGAACTAAGTTAATGGGAGTTGTGATGTTAGAGATCCTCAACTCACTCATTATTTTACTGTGGTTAACCAATTAAAAATAAGCTTTGCTTTGTTTCGGATTAACAAAATACCACAAGTAGATAATCGACGAGCTAACAAACTGTCCAAGTTGGCTTCCTCGCAAGACATCAATCCTCAACGAACAATGTACATGGAGGTCTTGGATGCCCCAAGTTATTCCAACCCAATATCTGACTATCAAATGTTAAGTGCTGACCCATTCTTGCTGAGCTGGACCACTTTGCTGATTAATTATTTACAAAATGGTGAACTACTTGAGAACCCATCTGAGGCTTAGATGGTCAGACATAGAGTAGCCCATTTCAGTTTAGTTGATGGTCAGTTGTATAAACGAGCAGTTTTAATGCCTTTATTATGTTGCTTTACTCCTTACGAAACTATGTTGTAAGGGAAGTACAAAAAGGAGTATGTAGCACCCACGTAGGTGGAAAAATGTTAGCTTAGAAACTTCTCAAGCAAGGATATTACTGACCCAATATGGTTGAAGACGCACAAAGCTACGGCAAAAAATGTTCAACATGCTAGTTCAATTCTAATGATATCCACATGGTAGGTAACCCAGCTCGTTCTATCATAAACGCATAAATCTATCTACGCCTTCACAGTGACCTTAGGGCTAAAAATGTATGTCTCCCTTTATATAGGAGAAATGTCATCCTCTCTTACATTGCCTTGGCCTTTCGCTCAATGGAAAGTGGACCTGCTCGGTCCCTTTGTTAGAGGCGAGGGAGGTTGCACACATCTAATCATTGCAATAGATTACTTTACTAAGTGGATAGAAGTTAAACCATTATCTACAACAACTGAGAAAAAGGTTGAAGAGTTCCTATTTAGTTCCATACTGTGTAGGTACTCTTTTAAGAAGTAAACCATGTACATTACATGCATATACGTTCCGTTACTTAGCCCACCTATTTACGTGCGGGTTTGCTATTCCTAGATGGATTATCATTGACAACAACCCCTAGTTTCGAGCTATGGCACTCAGGTCATTCTATGAAGACTATGGTATTGAGCTCATTCTTACATCTGTTTACACACCACAGACAAATGGCCAAGTGGAATCCACTAATAAAATTGTTATGTATAGCCTTAAATCATGTGTCCTAAATGCACAGACAAATGGGGTTGATGAACTCAACAGAGTATTATGGTCATGTTAGACTACGCCCAATTCGGCTACGAGAGAGATACTGTTTTCCCTATCTTATGGAACTGAAGCAGTCATCCCAGTCGAAGTAGGTCTACCGAGCTGCAGGTCTGCTTCATTTAATGAACATGATAACGAGTAGTAGCTTCAAGAGAATGTTGATTTCATTGAAGAAACAAGGGAGGTTGCAAGAATAAGAAACATGGTTTATCAAAGTCGTGTAGCTAAGTTTTACAATAAGAGAGTTTGAGCTCACCAATTCCAAGTTGGTGACCTGGTTTTGCGCAAAGCTTGACTTACTAATACCTATTCATACATGTTTAAACTTGCGCATAACTGGGAAGGCCCTTATAAGGTGGTGGCCGTCAAAAGACTTGGGAGATATATTCTACAAGATTCACAAGGTCATCAATTACCATTCACTTGGAGTGTACATAACCTTAAGAAATACTATAGCTAGTGGTGAGTATTAGTTTCGTAATGTAAAACGTAGCGAATATTCATACATCAATAACACTTAAAATGTTCAAAAGAAAATTTTTTCTTTAATTTCATAATTGGTCAGTGTGCACTATCAAATTACATATGAACTCGTTCAAACAACAAAAACTAAAAAAAATAAAAAAAAACATAGATTGGCACCAAATGCCTTTTTTTCTAATCATCTGTCAGGTCCACTAAAGGCATCGGTGCTGCAACACCATCATGAGTAAGAGCAAGAGCGAGCTGAGATTCTTCAAGAACACTCATGGGCTTAGCTTCTATGTCAGGCGTCCCAACAACCCAAGCCTTAAAACTAGGTAAGGAGTCCACATCTTTGCCTTCCTTAGGGATTGATGGAGGGAAGACAAGTACCCCTTCCTCATTTAAATTCCACCATAGTTGAACTATCGTGTCAAATGGAGGAGGCAAGCTCTTCCCTTACTCGTTAATCTCTTCTCCCTCCATGAACGTCAGCTCACCTATGGGGAAATCAGGTCGGTGTTGCAGCACCCTACCATGAACATCATCATAGATTTGCATCATGGCACTCATTTATGTAATGGCCAAAGCGTCCTGAAATGCGTCCAACTCAAGCAACCACTCAGCTCCTTGGGCATGAGCAATGTCCATAAATTGTCAGTGCGATCTCTTTGCATCCTTCAAAGCCCCTTGAGCGCGCCCAAGTTCTTAATCGACCACAGCCACATGCCACCTCAAGGTATTTAGCTCATTCAAAGCGCTGTCTTGTTTAGCCTTTGCTTTCCTTACACACTCCTCAGCTCGTTTCGCGTCCTCTTTAGTTGTTAGAATGCCTCTCCTTCTCAGCTTGAGCACTTTCAAGCTTTTCTCTCAGCTCGAGCAGTTGGTTGTTCAGCCGTTTGCTTAGCTTTTAGCTGCAGCAACTCTGCCGGCCATCTCTGAGCTTTGAAGGTTGTTAACATCATCCTCCAGGCTGGCCTTTTTTATGAGGATAAGCATTTTGCAGTTCTCAGCCAACTCCCGCATCTACCCTTAAGCCACTTGTTCGCACTCAAACAGCACCACAACATAGTTGAAAGCCTGATATTCAACCCGTAATTATTATTCTCAAAATGCAAGCACTAAAAATTTGTAAAGGAATTCAATTATAGCACTTGCATCCATCAGCTTAAGCATTATAGCTCCACCTCTATTTTCCTGTATGTAACTCTTGGCCTTTTGCCTATCAACAAGGGGCACGAAGCTATGCATACCCTGTAACATTACCATATGGCAATCAGTTTTAGTATAGCTAAAGCCCTCAAGGTATGCAATCCTAGGGCATGAGACTTGCATATGTGTTGCCCCAGCTTCAATGCCACCGGTTGACGCAGTTGGAAGGACCTTAGATGAACGTATAGAGGTTGAATGAACTCCAGAACTCGTTCGGCGTTGTGCAAGAGGTTGCATGTCATCATCAGCATCCACCACTTCTCTTTAGCACTGACATGAATTTGAGGGAAAAGGTTGAACTCTCTACTCGACATATGTCCTGATAGATGAGTTGGAACTTCGTTCTCTTTGAGAGGAGCTCCGTGGTGATTCCGATCGCTTATCAAACCGGCTTTGTCTATGCAAGCTGGATTTTTCCCGTCAACCACTAGACCTCTATGCTCATTCACGTTGCCTTTCCAACATGCTACTCATTTCTCCTACGCAAACAGATACAATAAGACTCAACTCGGTTAAAAATTGATAATTTGCAAAAGAAATATAACTTTGGCATATAGGTTTGCAGTATCCACAAACCTAAATGCCACTAACTACTCAGGGGTAACTAGGGCCTTCAAGTCCACCAATCTATTCTCCTTAACATAATTTAGCATGCATTCTTTATATCCACATCACTTGGCACTAATGTGGGATAGTTCATATAAGTCTAGGTTGTCCACCACTTAGAGATGCGAGCAGCAAGCTCGTTATTCACCCTATCTGTTCGTTGTCACAAACAAAAATGAACTGCCTCTTTCATCTAGCCACCTTATTCTTTATGTTGGTAAAAGAACATCATCTTTTCCCTCCCCAAAATATAGTACCACCTCATCTAGTTACTACTTAACTTGCACTGAAAGAGTGACCTGAACACCACTGCTTTTGTGGGTATTTCCAATCGTGCACATCGCAACATCAACCCTATGATGAACTTTATGCTATTTGGTGTCAGTTGCATTAGTGTCAATTCGTACTCTGCAAGTTCATAAAAAATCAGTCCAGGTAAGGGAAACCATAAGTCAGCTTCAAAATGATCCACATATATTGGTATCCATCCATTTCTTGATATTAAACATGCCCTTTCATTCCTAGTGCCAACCCAAACCAATATCGTCCTAGGGATTTGAAATCGTTTCACTATCTCCCCTAATTTTTTAAATCCCTTTACGGTGGTTAAGTCATCCACCACGTCATGACGGAACGTCGCCCTAAATTTGAATCCAACTAGTAAATCTTTTGACGCCTTATGAATGTTGTCCAATTTCCTAGTGATGGGCTTATTCTCCCATGCATCCATTATTAGTACACTCGCTTCCATAGTTGTCATGGTTGGAGCACCATTTCCTGCCCTTGCACCCTCATCATCACTAGGCGTCGCTTCAAAAGACGGATTTTTAGAAAAAGGAGAAGAATGGTGATTACCGGACCCCCTATCGTACTTGAACTGGCACTACTTTCTGGCATAATAAACTCTGGCAAATCCTATAGTTCCGGTGGTACTATCATTGCAATTGGTTCCATAGAAACAATGCCTTCTTTTTCTTCCATCCCCTAGTCATCTTGAAGCTCTCTAAGTTCCCTAAAAAATTCCATTTTTACTTGAATTTTTGGACTCTACTGCAAAACTTGAATACCTTTGCTATGGAGAATGACAGAGAACAATACAAAAGGAAAATAGCCAAAATGACAATAGGGTCATTTCCATTTCCTTTTTCTTTGCCAGTTTACGCACCCTTGATTCCTATACATGTATCTCTGACATATCTAATTAAGTTTTCACACGTGGCAATCATTCAAAACCGGGTGTCTAATATCTGCCGGCTTTACTTGTCACGTCTCTTCAACTGTTTAACCAGCATTTATCGTGAAGGGGGCAAAGGGATATTATCCGCTCTGAACCATATCTCCTTAAGGATTTGTTTTGTTTTGAATTTTGAAAAAATCACATGGGTGAGCTCATTCTATATGAGCTCATTCATGATATACACCATATTAGAAATTTGTTTTGGATTTTGAGAAAACACATAGATAAGCTCATTCTATATGAGCTCGTTCATAATCCGTGGCTCATCGGATATTTGTTTTAAATGTTGAAAATTTACTTGGTTAAGCTCGACCAAGATGAACTCCTTCAAAAGCCATATCTCCTTGGAGATTGGTTTTTGAATTGTGAAAATTTTATTAGATGAACTTGTTTGAGAAGAGGCATAGTATTGAGCTGACGTTGCTCACAGTTCAGCTCACCCAGATCTGGCAAAAATCATTGGATATACATGCTTGCTCCAGGACGTCGCGATTCCAATTCAGCTCGTCAAGATTAAAGATGAGTTCGCATAAAACCCATGAGGCACTAAAAAAGTTGATAGCCGTGGTGAGCTTCATCTATAAACTAGGTCCTTGAAGGTGGTTGTTGGGCTACCATTATAATTGCCACAGTTCGTTAATCGAACATTGAGGTGGGAGTAATGTTGGGGAACGAGCCTAACACCCATAATGGGCTTAGCTCAATAGGCCCACTTACATTTACAGGCCTCAAAAATTGAACTGAAACATGGATGCACTCATGTGGATGTTGACACTTGGATTAACCGGGTGCTTGCACGTGGCACATCCTATCATTAATGAAGGCTATAAATACCCCCCATCTACCTTCATGTGAGGGCATTAACTCCACTACTCTTCTCTCTCTATGATTACTCTTCCTAAGAGCTTCTCACTCTAAAAGTAGAATATTACTAACTTGGGCATTGGAGTGTCTTCTCAAGGAAACATTCTTGGGTATTTCAGGTGTTGCAACTGCTAAGATCCGTACAGTAAAAGTTTGGAAAGCCGTCCAAATAGAATTGGTGGAGTTTTCTACAACTAAATAAGATTGAATTTCTCAACTTCCTCAAATGTGTTTTCATTTGAGAATATTGAAGAATTTGGACTGTGAATCTCCATTCTCTTATCTATTTCTTTAATCTTTCTATTGTTTCTTGATGGCTCTATTAACCCTTTTTTTATGATTTGTCTACAAGAAAACTAAAGAAAGATAATATTTATTGGTTGTATCCTTGTTGCATTCATGTTTTCTTCATTTATTTGTTTCCCCTCATTCTATATAAAGAGGTAAACCACATGAAAATTGAAGTTTCTTCCATAGTTTTCTTTCAACTTCCCATTCTTCGAGTTGCACTTTTTTTTTTTTTTTTTTTTT